CAAATCAGGTGAACAGTGTAGGAATGACAACAGTTTGCATATGTTCCTCCCACTTGTTAAGGGACCAAAAGTAATGGGACAGAATAATAATCATAAATCAAACTTTCACTTTTTAATACTTGGTTACAAATCCTTTGCAGTCAATGACAGCCTGAAGTGTGGAACGCATAGACATCAGCAGACGCTGGGTGTCATCCCTGGTGATGCTCTGCCAGGCCTTACTGCAACTGTCTTCAGTTCCTGCTTGTTCTTGGGGCATTTTCCCTTCAGTTTTGTCTTCAGCAAGTGAAATGCTCAATCGGATTCAGGTCAGGTGTGATTGGCCATTGCAGAACATTCCACTTCTTTGGTGGCTTTTGCAGTCTGCTTTGGGTCATTGTCCATCTGCACTGTGAAGCGTCCAATGAGTTGTGAAGCATTTGGCTGAATATGAGCCGATAATATTCCCGAAACACTTCACAATTCATCCGGCTGCTTCTGTCAGCCGTCACATCATCAATAGATACAAGAGAAGCAGTTCCATTGGCAGCCATACATGCCCACGCCATGACACTACCACCACCATGATCACTGATGAGGTGGTATGCTGAGGACCATGAGCAGTTCCTTCTCCATACTCTTCTCTTCCCATCACTCTGGTACAAGTTGATGTCGGTCTCATCTGTCCATAGGATGTTGTTCCAGAACTGTGAAGGCTTTTTTACATGTCGTTTGGCAAACTCTAATCTGGCCTTCCTGTGTTTGAGGCTCACCAATGGTTTCCATCTTGTGGTGAACCCTCTGTATTCACTCTGGTGAAGTCTTCTCTTGATTGGTGACTTTGACACACATACACCTACCTCCTGGAGAGTGTTCTTGATCCGGCCAACTGTTGTGAAGGGTGTTTTCTTCACCAGGGAAAGAATTCTTCGCTCATCCACCACAGTTGTTTTCCGTGGTCTTCCGGGTCTTTTGGTGTTGCTGAGCTCACCGGTGCGTTCCTTCTTTTTAGGAATGTTCCAAACAGTTGTTTTGGCCACGCCTAATGTTTTTGCTATCTCTCTGATGGGTTTGTTTTGTTTTTTCAGCCTAATGATGGCATCACTGATAGTGACAGCTCTTTGGATCTCATCTTGAGAGTTGACAGCAACAGATTCCAAATGCAAATAGCACACTTGAAATGAACTCTGGACCTTTTATCTGCTCATTGTAATTGGGATAATGAGGGAATAACCCACACCTGGCCATGGAACAGCTGAGAAGCCAATTGTCCCATTACTTTTGGTCCCTTAACAAGTGGGAGGCACATATGCAAACTGTTGTCATTCCTACACCGTTCACCTGATTTGGATGTAAATACCCTCAAATTAAAGCTGACAGTCTGCAGTTAAAGTACATCTTGTTTGTTTCATTTCAAATCCATTGTGATGGTGTATAGAGCCAAAAATGTTAGAATTGTGTCCATGTCCCAATATTTATGGACCTGACTGTATATATGTGGGATCAAGGGAACAATGGCACATATATATGGTGGGAACGCCCCAAAATCCAGGTATATTGGGAGGATATCATTCACTTAATGCTAGAGATTTGTTGAAAGATCCGGGCACCATGTTTATTCCATATAATCGAGGTTAAGGTAGAAAATATATAAAAATCTGATGATATTCCACCTAATAAACGCAGCAAAGGGATTGATACCCAAACACTGGCAGGAGCAGGAGGTACCGAAAATAAAAGATTGGATAAAAAGGGTAAATTGTATTTATAGGATGGAGGAAATGTATTATATTGAAGACAGATTGAAGAGATTTAAAAAAAGTGGGAAAAGTGAGATGGGGTTTAAAAGATCACATAAATACGCTGAATTGGTAGGATTAGAGAATGATGAGAGGTCATATAAAAGGAAGAAAAGGAAGGTAAAAGGAAAGAGGAGGAAGAGGAAAGGGGAAGGAAAGAGAGAAAAAAGAAAAAGACGGGAAACGGGAGGTAGGAAGATGGGAAAGGAGAGAGGGAGATCCTGAGATTCGTAGAGGAAAGGAAGGAAGTGGGAAAATTAGGGGAAGAGATGGGTGTGGGGGGGGGGGGGTACAATTAAGAAAGGGGGGCTTTGGGTGCAACAAGAAAAGGGAAAAGTTTTCCTTTGTTTGTTTTTGTTGAATGATGTGATCGTTGAGTTTTGTAATATTGAGATATTGAAACTAATAAAAGACATAATAAAAAATAAAAAAAACCCCTAGACATTGCCCTATGAGGGGGTAGCACTAGCGCCGTGGGCGGTACTTTATTTATTTGACATTGGAAGGCACACACAGGAGAAGGTGTTAGGGGGCTGGCAGCTGTTTGTTGGGGAATCATACAAAAACACATACAAAAAAGTATAATAAAAACAAGATTGCACTCAGTGCATGAATGGAAAGGCCGGCATGTGGGAGGGGAGGAGGATCGGGGCTGCTCTGTGCAAAACCATTACACAGAGCCCGTGAGTATAACATGTTACTTTAAAGAGAAAATAACCAAGCTTTACTGTCGCTTTAACTTGTGGGAGGTGGGCAGGACAGGTCTGATCCCTCTGCCAAGTAAAATGGCTGCTTAGAGAGCCCCCTTATGTCAGTGCCTTCCTTAGAGACCCCCCATTATATCAGAGAATCTTATTCCCCCTTTTATCAGTGCCCCCCTTAGAGACCCCCCATTAGATCAGAGGCTCCTCATATCAGTGTCCTTCTTAGAGACCCCCCATTAGATCAGAGGCCGCTTATATTAGTGACCCCCCCTTAGATCATAGTCCCCTTATTTCAGCGCTCTCTCCCCTTAGAATAGAGACCCTCCCAGTGCCTCCCCTTAGAGACTCCCCCACTAGATCAGAGCCCCCTTATATCAGTGGCTCCCTTATAGAGACCCCCCATTAGATCAGAGTGCCCCATATATATTAGTGACCCCTCTTAGAAACCCCCCCATTAGAACTGAGAGGCCCCTTATATCAGTGCCCCCTTAGAGACCCCCCATTAGATCAGAGGCTCCCTCATATCAGTGACCCCCTTAGAGACCCCCATTAGATCAAAGGCCCTTTATATCAGAAACCCCGTCCCCCTTAGAATAGAGACCCTCCCCAGTGCCTCCCCTTAGAGACTCCCCCATTAGATCAAGGTCCCATTATATCATGCCCCCCCCCAATTTAGAGACCCTCATTAGATTGAAATCCCCTTATATCCACATACCCCCCCCCTAGAGACCTCCATTAGATTAGATGCCCCTTATATCAGCGCCCCCTCCCCCTTAGAATGGAGACCCTCCCAGTGCCTCCCTATAGAGACTCCCCCATTAGATCAGAATCCCCTTACATCAGTGCCTCCCTTAGAGACCCCCATTAGATCACATGCCGCTTATATCAAAGCCCCTCCCCCCTTAAAATAGAGACCCTCCCAGTGCCTCCCCTTAAAGACTCCCCTAATAGATCAAGCTCCCTACATATCACAGCCTCCCTTAGAAACCCTCATTAGATGAAAGTTCCTTTTTATCAGGGCCTCTCCTTAGAGACCCCTCATTATAAGAAGGGTGCTTTATTTCAGGGCCCCCTTTAGAGACCCCCCCATTAGATCAGAGTCCCCTTATATCAGCCCCCACTTACAGACTTTCCATTAGATCAAAGTCTCTCCCCCCCACCGTAGAGACCCCATTATATCAGTCTCCTTATATCAGGTTCACCCTTAAAGACCTCCTCATTAGAACAGAGTCACCTATATCAGGGACCCCCCCCGTAGAGAACCCTCATTATATCAGAGTCCCCTTATATCAGCCCCCGCCCCCCCTTAGAATAGAGACCCTCCCTGTGCCTCCCCTTAGAGACTTCCCCATTAGATCAAGGTCCCCTTATATCACATCCCACCCTTAGAGGGCCCCTCATTATAAGAAGGTTGCTTTATTTCAGGGCCCCCCTTAGAGACCCTCCCAGTGCCCCCCTTAGAGACCCCCCATTAGATCAGAGTCACCTTATATTAGTGACCCCTCTTAAAGACCACCCATTAGGACAGAGTCCCCTTATCAGGGCCCCTCTGCCCACGTAAGAGCCCCATTAGACTGTTTTTCCTCCGGGCAGGAGCCGCCCGCTGTGAGCAGGAAGTGGGAGCCATGTTGGTGGTAGGAGCTGGGAGGTGTGCAGCTCTTCATAGTGCTATCTTCCTCCCACTGTGCATCGCGGCACCATAATGTGTCAGGAGGATGAAACTGGACCATATAAATTCAAAACCTCCCAGTTCCTGTCCAGATGAATCCTGTCCAGGTTGGCAAACCCTAAACATGAGAAGTGAAATGTTGATGTACTTCCTGTACCACTGACACCAATGATGGGGACACTATTTCCCTCCCACTGACACCAATGATGGGGCACTATCCTCCAACTGACACCAATGATGGGGGCACTATTCCTCCCACTGACACCAATGATGGGCACTATTCCTCCCACTGACACCAATGATGGGGGCACTATTCTCCCACCTGTCCACCAATGATGGGCACTATTCTCCCACTGACACCAATGATTGGGACAACTTCCCTCCTTTATATCCTCCCCACATGACACCAATGATGGGACACTATGCCTCCCACTGACACCAATGATGAGGGCACTATTCCTCCCACTGACACCAATGAGGGATGGCACTATTCCTCCCCACTGACACCATTAGATGATGGGGCACCTATTCCTCCCACTGACACCAATGATCAGGGACATCTATTCAGGGCCCCACTGACACGTAATGATGGGCACTATTCCTCCCACTGACACCAATGGAAGTGGGGCACTATTCCTCCCACTGACACCAATGATGGGCACTATTCTCCCTGACACCAATGATGGGGCACTATTCCTCCCACTGACACCAATGATGGGGCACTATTCCTCCACTGACACCAATGAATGTGGACTATTCCCTTCCACTGATACCAATAGATGGGGACTATTTCTCCACTGACACCAATGATGGGACACTATTCCTCCATGACACCAATGATGGGGCACTATTTCCTCCCACAGATACCAATGATGGGGCACTATTCCTCCACTGACACCAATGATGGGGCACTATTCTCCCACTGACACCAATGTATGGGGCACTATTCACTCCCGCCTGATACCAATGATGGGGCACTATTCCTCCCACTGACACCAATGATGGGACACTATTCCTCCCACTGACACCAATGATGGGACACTATTCCTCCCACTGACACCAATGATGGGGCAACTATTCCTCCCACAGATAACCAATGATGGGTCACTATTCCTTCCACTGACACCAATGGATGGGGCGCTATTCCTCCACTGATACCAAGTGAGGGGGGCACTATTCCTCCCACTGACACCTATGATGGGGCCACTATTACCTCCCACTGACACCAATGATGGGGCGCTATTCCTCCCACTGATACCAATGATGGGGCGCTATTCCTTCCACTGATACCAATGATGGGCCGCTATTCCTCCCACTGATACCAATGATGGGGCACTATTCCTCCCACTGACACCTATGATAGGGCACTATTCCTCCCACTGATACCAATGATTGGGGCACTATTACCTCCCACTGACACCAATCGATGGGGCACTATTCCTCCCACTGATACCAATGATGGGGCACTATTCCTCCCACTGATTACCAATGATGGGGCACTATCCCCCCACTGACACCAATGATGGGACACTATCCTCCCACTGACACTGGGGCATTTTCTACACCCATTGGTCACGGAGTTCACCCCTCCCTTCCCAAAGTCCTGGTGTAGAGCAAAATGTCTATAACAATGTAGTTGGAGATAAGGAGCCAGACAATGGTACAATGGTGGGAGTCCAGCCATGGCTGCCAGATCGTAATTCATAGAATTTTGGGGGGGGCCAGGCTCTGCCGTGTAATATATTGTTTTGTATTTAGGAAGTTCCAAGTTTCCATAGTTAGTCTGGCTGAAAAAAGACAAAAGTCCATCCAGTTTTCAACCATAGAAAAAAAAAAAAGCCATAATCCGACACCCACAGTTGATCCAGAGGAAGGGTTCCGTTGATGGATCTCCAGTTGGAAGGTTGGAGATCTGACATTTTCCCAATTAAGTAGGATGGTCTTCAAGAAGAAGAAATGTTTAATGGTCTGGAAGGCGAGTGTCACCGTCAGCAGTTTTCAGTAGAACTTTCGGGGAAGTTAGTTGTGTAGGCGTCCTCGTGACTCCGGTCCTTCCCTATGGTTAGTTACACGATATATGACAGCGCCCTCCGCACACGATATGACGTTATGACAGCTGCTGCTCACTGGACCGTTCATCATTTATGCAAATGCCTTCCCGTGACTCCCGTATGACATCTCGGTGCTTTTTTTTTTTGTGGTTCTCATTTTGTCTGTGTCCCCAAAATGCTATAAATCACACAAAGCCCGACTTACCGCCCCTCTATGATTCTTTAGGCCTGGGAAACAATAGGACGAAGGGGCGGGCCGGTGATTAGTCTCAAACAATAGCAGACCTTGATATATACCATGGGAGCCGAACAATATGGAATGCGTTGCGACCTAACCTTGACAAAAGCCGTAATCTCGCTGTTTAGCAGGCAAACCTCGAGTCAAATGGCGTCCGGGGAGCATTTAAGAAGAAACAGATTCTGGCTTTATTAAATCTGTCAATCGCATCATTTCAGCTCCTTTCTCGGGTGTGAAATAAATCACACATCGCCGGCTTGTTGGAACGGTGCGTTGACTGAAATGCGTGTGTGCGTTTCCGCAGGCATGGCTTTGATGGGAAGCACGCATTTCGTATTCATGTATACAATGTGGGTACCAGGCGGAGAATGGATTGTGGTCGCGGTTAGATTGTTCCCGGCTCCATTGTGATTCTGCGACGTCTTGGCGTCTCGGAGGAGCGCTTTGGAAGCCGGAATTAGGTTGGTGGCGTCGGGGGATTGGATTGGCTGCGTTAGGTGTCCTCATCATGTAAACTGCGGTAGGGTTGGGTAAGTGCTTATCCATTCCCCCCCCGAGTGTTACCGTGCCAAGGCTGATGACAAAGCTGTGACAAATTAGCCGCCCCGCTCGCGATTTTTTTTTTCACCGGTAAATTTGCAGAAGAAAGAAAAACACGAGAGGACGAAGCTTACACCCCTCGAAAGCCGCATTTCTGCTAAATAACTCCAACGGATCCACTTGGTCATATTATGGGCGGTATCGAGGCTCATTCATCCTATTCTATTCTATAGAAACATGACATAGAGAACGTTGCTGGATAAGCGGATCCCCCGCGCCGCGCACACGGGGGGGGGGGGGGGGGTTACAGTGGAAATAAAGTCCGTTCTAAACATGCTGCTGACATGCAGGGAACCTATGACAGAGGAGACCCTACTGGTGCTAGGAGTCTGGGAGGGGTGATTTTTGATTTGTGTTAGGAGGGGGGATTGAGGGAGGAAGATATGTGCTGCTCTGGGGGGTCATTGGGGGAGGGGTGGATTTTGTGTTAGGAGAGGGGATTTGGGGGATGGGGGTGGAATTGTGCTGGGGGGTGATTTGGGGAGGGGTGGATTTGTTGTTAGGAGAGGGGATTTGGGGAGGGGTGGATTTGTGCTAGGGGGGGTGATTTGTTGGGGGAAGCGTGGATTGTTGTTAGGAGAGGGGGATTTGGGGGAAGGTGGATTTTTGTGAGGGGGGTGATTTGGGGGAGGAATAGATTTGTGTTAGGAGGGGTGATTTGGGGGAGGGGTAGATTTGTGCTAGTGGGGTGATAAAGGGGAGGAGTGGATTTGTGCTAGGAGAGTGATTTGGGGGTAGGAGAGGATTTAATGTTTTGTGCTAGGAGGGGTGATTTGGGGGAGGGGTGGATTTGTGCTAGGGTGGGGTGATTTTGGGGAGGAATGGATTTGTGCTAGGTGGGGTGATTTTGGGAGGGTTTGATTTGTGTAGGATGGGGTGTTTGGGGGAGGGATGGATTTGTGCTAGGCGTGGATTTGGGGAGGGATGGATTTTGTGATAGGAGGGGTGATTTGGGGGAGGGATGGATTTGTGCTAGGTGGGGTGATTTGGGGGAAGGGGATGGATTTGTGATAGGAGGGGTGATTTGGGGAGGGATGGATTTGGTGCTAGGTGGGGTGATTTTGGGGGGGGGGGATTTGTGTTAGGAAGGTGATTTGGGGGAGGAATGGATTTGTGCAAGTGGGGTGATTTGGGGGAGGATTTGATTGTGATAGGAGGGGTGATTTGGGGGAGGGATGGATTTGTGTTAGGAGCGGTGATTTGGGGGAGGGATGGATTTGTGCTAGGTGGGGTGATTTGGGGGAGGGATGGATTTGTGTTTGGAGGACTGATTTTGGGAGGGGTGGATTTGTGTTGGGAGGGGAGGATTTGAGGTGCTAGGAGTTCGTGATTTGGGGGGGGGGGGGGGGATTTGTGCTAAGAAAGGGGATTTGGAGTGGGAGATTTTGTGCTAGGTGAGGGGATTTTGCGGAGGGGGATTTGTTGATAGGAGAGGGGGATTTGGGGGAGGGGAGGATTTATGCTAGGATGGAACTGATTTTGGGGAGGGGTGGATTTATGCTAGGAGGTATGATTTTTGGGGGGGGATTTGTGCTAAGAGAGGGGATTTGGGAGTGGGTGATTTTGTGCTAGTGAGGGGATTTTGTGGAGGGGTGGATTTGTGATAGGAGAGGAGATTTGGGGGAGGGGAGGATTTGTGTTAGGAGGACTGATTTTTTTTGGGGAGGGTGGATTTATGCTAGGAGGGGTGATTTGGGGGGTGGGAGATTTATGTTGGTTAGGAGATGGGATTTGGGGGTGGGAAATGTTTATGCTAGGAGAGGGGATTGGGGGGGGGTGGGAGATTTTTGTGCTAGGAGAGGGTATTTTGGGGAAGGGGGATTTCTGCTAGGAGTGATTTTTTTTTTGGGGGGGGGGGATTTTGTGCTATTAGGGGGGATTTGGAAGAGAGACGATTTAAACTTGAAGGGACATCGAAGGGAGGGGCAAAAATTTGTGCTGGGAGGGGGAATTTCAGCAGATTTTTACTGAACGGATGGGAGACTTTTTCATATTCGTTTGAGAAGAATTTTTTTTCTTGCAGAGGGAATTTAAGGTGAACGTTTGGATGCTCTGACCTCATTTTCCACAGTGATTTCCCAGTTCAGGTTGGCCCCCATTTCTCGGGGGGGGGGGGCCCCTTGCCCTTTTGTAGAGCTGCAGAGGTCATTCCGCCTCATCTCACCACTAGGTGTTGCTGGACAGACGTAAGATCAGGATCCCGATCCTCATATCTGCTTGACAACATTTCCAGGGACAAGTACAGATGTATAGTTCTTGAAGTGCGCGTTCACCTTTCGCAGCACCGCCATAAGCAGGAAGTGCGCATTTCTATTCGCCATATTTCCCTTTAACTACAAGCAGGTTGGGAAATGCGGGGGCCCACGTCAAGGTTCCTCTTCCACGTTTTCCTCCTTCAGTAAATCATTTTTCTCAATACTCTTCATCAAGAGGCAGTTGACCCACGGCCAGCATTTTGGTGGAACTTCCGTACAATGTGCTCTCCGTAATGATTTCCCCAAACAGAAACCTCTTCAGTAAAATATCTGCAAAGCCTCCAGAAATAATTAGAGGACACTTACAGTCCTGCGGGGGTTTAATAAAATACATGACTCTATAAAACAACCAATTTACAAAGCATTTAAAAGACATTCTTCAGGGGGCTCTAAAGACCGTCCGACGCTCGCCGGAAATAATAAAGTGACTCAATTTGTGGCGCGCGTGTCAATAAATAACAACCATAATGTGCTTCAGAATTGCAATCTCTTAGATTAAACACCGAGATCCATCTGGCGGGTGCGCTCTCCGCGCGCTCTGCAGGTTCCATTGTCCGTGACTTATATTTTGCTGCTTTTTCCAGCCGCGCACTTGTCGTATTTAATTTAGCAGAAGGTCTGTCAGCCTATCCATATCCTTAAATGGATCCCGATGGAACCTCCAGCGTAGGCGGAAAAAGAGTCACCACGCTTCCAGGATGGCAAAAATACTCTACTTTCCGTGTAACTGTCACTTCCTATGTACATGGTGTCGGTAAAGACAGCGAGGGGGGGCGAGGTGTAAATGTACAACTCCATTTAGAGTGGAAGGTTTTAAAAGCTTTCCGAAATATATTGGAAGCCGTGATGTGCAGTGATAATTAAAGTGGTTGTAAACCTCTGAAATGGGAAATGAAC